AATACTTACGTGTCTGTATGCCCATATGCATGTAAACCCAATGAAAAAGATCTGGCAGATACACACCAAAATGTTGGGGTGGGGGAGACCATTCCACAAAGAGAATGACATAACAGAACAGGCAGTATGAGTGAAGTGGTCTTCTTTTAAACTTTATATATTCATAAAATGGGCTTATTTCAATATGTATATGTTTATACTATGTGGACAATAAAGAAAAAATTTTTTAAAAGAACAAAAGTGATCTAAGTTTTTAAATTTTATAAGCATATCTGGTCCCTCTCCTTGGTATATCAGGGAAGATCAAAACATTTTCCAGATATGGAGTTGGCACTACTTTATAGTGTTAGTGAGATTAGACATAAGCAATGCTGTCCCTATTTCAGGAATCCCACTAAAGTAACGGGGTTTCAGTCTTATTTTGTTGCTTCAAACAAGAAACAGAACGCACCTCATCAGGTTCTACCGGACACTGAAATGACTTGGTAACTTTTTAGAAGCAAGTTAATCAAATGACTCCCTGTCCTCATGGCTGACTCTCAGTCATTTCAGTCATTACTAAATGTATTCCTCTGATGGAACAAGCTTCCTCTGAACCACACAACCAATGAAAGGAATAGCCTTCTATTTTCTCAGTGTGCGAAGTACGGAGTTAAGAACCAAATCCCGAGCCCACTGCCTTCCGCCATGCATTTGCTCTTCATCTCTGGGTTTGCTAATCTTCCTTTGTCCACTGTGCAAATCTCAGGAGGGAGCCAACACCAGCTTGCTTTGGTTATTCTCCCTAAATTACTGCCCTGGGCTAACACAGCTCAGTGATTTAAATCCTTCATATTAGTTTCCCTGGTACATAATCATAGTTGGAATGCCAACTGTTTAAATATTTATTTATTTATTTATTTTTAAAGATTTTTATTTATTTATTTGTCAGAGAGAGAGAGAGAGAGCACAAGCAGGGGGAGCAGCAGAGGGAGAGGGAGAAGCAGGCTCCTCACTGAGCAAGGAGCCCGATGTGGGACTCGATCCCAGGACCCTCGGATCATGACCTGAGCCGAAGGCAGACGCTTAACGACTGAGCCACCCAGGCGTCCCTGTTTAAATATTTAAAAGAGCTCCCCAAGTATAATATAAAGTTATCTCTTTGTACTTCGAGTCCCTTAAGACACGTCTCCCTTTCATGGCTCTCTGTCTACCTCTCGGCCACCACCCGCACACCTTTAATACCCTTCTCTTAATCCTCTTCAGTTCATTCTTACTTTCTTCATCTGTCTTGGCACAGAGCTTCTTTGTTATTTAGGAAATGCCACCTGTTTATACAGGTGAGGGGAACTGTGCTAATCAAACCCTTACACATTTAATTTGAATCATCATCCAGGATCTGTGCTGTCCAATATGATAGCCACTGTTTATTTAAATTTAAGTTAATTTAAAGAAAATTAATTTTAAAATTCAGTTTCTCTTTCTCACGAACCACACTCAAGTGCTCGATAGCCAACTGTAGCCAGTGGCTTGTGTCTGTGGCACTGGGCACCAGATGGACATCTTTATCATTGCAGTAAGTTCTCCTGGACAGCCAGATCCAGACATCTCAACTCTAAAAATACCTCGACCCCTGGGAGAATTCAAAACTTCAATGGCAAGAAAAAACTGAATCTTGGGAAAGCAGAAAGGGTATTAATTAATAATAATGAATAAAAGCAAAAGACAAATTCACTATGTGTAGAAATGAGTAAACAGATTTCCCCAAGTAAATACATTTTCTACAAATCTTTACATTTTCTCTTTAACAATCCAGCGATAATCTCTTCCTAAGCATTACAACCACTGGCTGGATTATAACTTTTTTTTTTCATTCAGGAATAAGCTTCTGTGGATTTTCAGAATTATTTTTTAAACAGAACATTTATGAAGCTCTCAGTCTGCTCCTTCTCATTTAGGTATAAACAAGTTTGAAGAGCTTGAGCAAACAGGAATGTGGGAATGTTTCCAAGTACTTTAAGGCCCTCTGAATGGGAAGCCAATTTTACATCCTCCAACAGTGACAAGGAGGCCACCTCCCCACTTGCTAAGCATCTACTCATCTGTCAGTTTGCTTGGTTATCACTTCCCCTTGAAATCTGCCTGGAACCACCCCCACCTTGCATGCAACACCCCAGCATTCATGTCTCCCCACTTTATCCAACTACCACCTCCTATGCATCCTTCCAGAACCGTGTACACCCCACCGTCTTCTCATCACCTACTGACACACCTGTCCTCCTCTGTGGCTGGGGGCTCCTCATGGCCAGGAAAGTGACTGACCCTGACTTGTATTCCCAGCACCTAGCACTGTGTCTGACACAAAGAAAGTTCTCAATAAATATTTATTAATCTGAGCTGAGCAAACTGGACCCAAAGTTATAAACATGCTTTCCACCCTAACTCAGACTCTTTTTTTTTTTTTTCCACCCTAACTCAGACTATTGGGATGTGGTAGGCAGGGGCCCAGACTAACTCAGACTCATAAGTCCTGCAGTGAGGGGTATTTGAGGTATAATCAATGTAATCTACTTTGTTACTGTCTACATTTAATTTAACAGACATTTGAATTCAATTGAAATGTCAGCAGGAGCTATTACTGGCTATGATCCAGTTGGCTATTGATAGCCTACATGTATTTGCTAACTTGACTATAGTAGTTTCTCAACTTCTTGAGAAAAAAGTAAGATTTTCTCTGGGCCCAAATAGACCATTTAATGTGATTACCAAGTCACAGGAACAATGCTGTTCAATCTGAATTCTTAACATTTTTCAAAATACAAATAAATCCTTAAATGATGAAATATGGATTTAATAAGTCAAAATGTAATGAGAGGTACTGTCAATATTTAAAACTTCAATAAAAATTCACTCTCCAAAGTGTAAGCCAGCAAAGTATCAATTGGCTTTTGTTCTCACAAAACTTAACTTTACAAAATGGGCAAATACCCAAATTTCAAAAGGGAAGCCCAAATATGTCATATTCTGCCAAAAAATCATTAGCTCATATGCATGTGCTTTTAAAACCAAAATTTAATAATTTTGATTAAAAGACTGGCATTAGCAATCAAAATTTAAGACCTAGTAACTCAGCACTAAATGCAAGCTGTGAAAACCAGGAAAGTGAGTTCCTAAACAGAATGTGTGTGTTTGTGTGTATATATATATATATATTCCTCTCTAGTGCTGTAATGATATCAAAGTCAAATGGACTCTTTCCCTCCAGGCTGAACTGGAAGCCTAATGGTTCCATTGTTTTTTCATCTCTCCTTTTCATATCAAAGAAATACCACATTTTTATAACATTGATGTTGAAGGACTGAATAAATACGATCTATCTCTGAACTTACTGAGGAATTTGTAGAACAATTTTGTGACTCTCCTTTATTTAGAGCAATACCCTGGAAATTATATTTGTATAGAGACTTAGCATTTCCAAATGCTTACAAGTGTATTATCACATTCAATCAAATTGTTTATATACCTGATTAGCGCAATTATTCAGGCAACATCTGCTCAGTTTACATATTACTCATGACATCCCCCCCCCCACCCCATGTCTTTTTCCTCCCTGGCCTGAAATGTGATCATTTTCTTTCCTATTAGTCTTGTACTAGCGGCAAGGGAGGAAGGAAAGGAGAGGAAATTCAGGCTAATCCTATTTTAAAATTTAGAGTTCTTTTAGAAAAAAGTCACTGAGAATATTAAAACTTCTAGTTAAATTAAGGGTCTGGTGAGTAGAGGCATGAATTTAAATGATTTAAACTATTTTAATATTTGTGACTTATTCAAATACCTTTCATTTATAACTTCCAATTAATAACATAATTGTTTATAATCATTATTTCCTTTATTTAGGCTTGTGTGCTAGGGATTATTATTTCTGTCTTCATGGGTGAGGAACGAGGACATGGAAAAACAGCACTGATCTGTCCCAGCAGGGGCCCAGACTGGAAACCAAGTCAGGGGATCCCAAATTGTACCATTCCCTGAAACCAGTGTTTCCCAAGCTTTAGCACATGTGAGAATCTCAGTGGGCTTGTGATGCGCAGATGGTGGGGGGTGGGGGGTGGGGGGGTGTCCGAACCCTGAAATTTCTGATTTGGCAGATGGGGTGGGGCCTGAGAATGTGCATCTCTTAAAAAGCAGCAGTGGGGCCACACTTTGAGAACCAACTGCTATAAACCATGGCTGCCTCTCTCAGCTCTTCACAGCCCACTAAGCTGCAATGCACATCAGAGCAGAGAAAGTCTCCTCGAGACCCTGTGGGCCTCTACGTCCCTGCCCCCCACGGCCAACCAGACGCCATCACAGTGCCAGTGACGGGCACCTCACACACCCCACATCAGCGCTGCATGAGTGGGCTTCCGTTTTCTCATGGTCCGGGGGAACCAGCAGATTGGCCAAGAGAAACGTGTAAGTAACCTTTTCTGGTAGGATCTGTTTAAGCTAAAAGGTTTGATCCTTTATCTCGTCTAAGCCACTGAATTTATTAATCAAAACAAAGAAGCCCAAGACAGAAAGGAAAACTGACCCCTGGTCCCCACCCCTTCAAGGAGCACTTATGCCCTCGAGGAATCTGAGTCACACCGCCGCGAGGTAAGCCTTCCAGGAGTCTGTGGGTCCTCTCCCCAAATGCACAGACCATCACCACCGGCACTGTCAACGCTTCCCCAGCTTGCTGAAGACGGGCTGATTTGCTCTCATTCCGTAGAAATGAACGACTGCCCTGATTTTGCCCACCCCCAATCATTTCCACCATCCCTCCTTCCTTTCTGTTGCAAAATAAGGCACCTTAAATGGACATTATCCTGTTCATTTTTTCGGACTCCTTGGGAAGAGAGATGCTATGCATTTTTTGAGGGAAGTGGCCAGATTGTGACACCCCAGATAGGTAAATAGTTGGAGAACCAAGATCACGTGAACCACAACATTCTATACGAGATCCCACTGATGAAAATATAATAGCTGCAAGAAATGGATTACTGACAGTTAATGTGTAACGTCATGGTCTTACCTATGCACACTAGATCCATAAAACCATACATTCCATAGCAGATTTGAAAAAGGATGTCCTTCCTCTGCCACACTGCATAGGGGCTGAAGGCTGACCAAAGGAGCCAGGTCACACTCGCTATTAAGAACAGGGATCCTAGGATTACAGCAATCATCTGAACTTTCTCAACCAGTGTTATAGAAATGCTTTGCCACTAAAAGAAAAACAGAGGCATGTGAGAAAAAGGTGCTGCGTTTAACTTGAAAAGAAAAAAAAAAACCACATTTTCAGCCCCATGTTTCTCTCCATCATGTTAGACCCTTTTCAATCTGATCAGCCCCCACATGACTTTTTCCATTTCATCCAGGATATAAAAAAATAGACAAGCAGATAAAGATTAATGAGTTGCCTTAGCTTCATTATTTTCCGTAATTCACCGTTCTGCAAATTTAATCTAGTTTTATTCCAGATAACAGTACTGGGAGTGAATGGCTGAAGAATATTTAGTACCTGGGATCACATTATTATCTTTCACACATGCATGAAATTAAATACACTCTGAAGATATGTGTTGAAGACTCCTCTACTTGGAAACTTATTTTGCTCTTTAACACATTTGGCTACTGCAAAAAAGGGAACTGTTTCTTGTTTTTGCAAAAAAAAAAAAAAAATGTAAGCAACAAATAAATAAGTTATGTAAGAACATCAGTTAAAAAGTCGTTAAAGTAACACACTAGAATTTTAAGGGAACTATTAAGATTGTACATTATCTGTTATTGGTACATTTCATATACTCAGATATCACTGAACTTTAATTATCTAACAGGTAATCTGTGAAGCAATTTTTGTCAAGATTTAGAATTTGTAAACAAACAGAGTATCTTTGAAATTCACAAACTGTGTAAATACCACACTGTTCAATGGGGAGAATAATTTGGTATCCTAAGTATCGGTATTTGGGAGGATTTTACAGTACAAATGATCAAAAGTCTTTCAAGTGTGTTATCAACTTGAAAGAATTAATTAGTCATGTTCTCCCTTTTGCATAATTGAGACAGAAACAAAACTAGAATTGCTATTACGGTTTGTCAGTAAACAATGAAACTCAAAACAACCTGCACAGTTTCATTCTGTGTGAAAGAGCTCTGTAAAAACAAATGAGCTTGAAAAATCAGTATCCATTGGGTGAATCTGATATTTCCTTAAACTCTTTACTTACCTTTAAGTCTGAATATGTGCATCCCAAATGGCAAGTCTATCACCACCCTTCCCTCTCTCCCTCACTGCTTCTGTCTCTCATCATAAATAATTTACTTATCATATTTAAATATGCCCTTTATCCTGCATATTCATGGATATTGTTAAATTCTACATTTGTTAAGGATTAAATATCAAAATGCATTTGAAATATTTAATTCTCTAAAGTCATTTATTTTTCCTTTAAAAACTTCAGAACCAAATGATAGTTTGGTGGAATTCTATAAGAAGGGTATTTCTAACAATTTTAATATGCAGATTCACTTGCTGAAAAATGGCTTTTGCTTTTATAATTCTGGATGAATAATAATTAAATTTGTCAATATATCTTATCATTACAACTGAATCAATTTATTTCAATTATGTATTTGAAGTTTTTTTTTTTTACTAGTTTCCTGACATAATCTTAAACACATTAATTTCGAACTGCCTGGCAATGGAATTTAAAGCCATTTTAAATTTGGTGTCACCGAACAAGTATAAAGTGTCACTATTTATTGGTTTTTAGTCTCAGGGTTCATTGAAATCTGCATTAAATACAACAACATGGTGAGCAACACAGAAAACTACTTCCAGCTAACATCCATCCCAGATGGATGCCATCATGTCTATATGCATTGTTACTCTTCATCAATTTATTAATTACATCAGATAGATGAAAACAAAGCATACTTCTAAACTTATGGGGCAAAGGTACACAAGTTATATGTGTGTGAGAGAGAGAGATTTTCACATGGTGAGCCATCTGTTTCAAAATACATAAGCCTGAATCATAAGAGTCTTGGGTAAGCAGCAGTGAGTTAGGAGGATTTATCAAGAATGGTACGGGGCGTCTGAGTGGCTTAGTTGGTTAAGCATCTGCCTCAGGCTCAGGTCATGATCTCAGGGTCCTGGAACTGAGTCCCGTGTAGGGCTCTCTGCTCAGCATGGGTCCGTTTCTCTCTTGTACTCTCTCTCAAGTAAATAAATAAAAATCTTAAAAAAAAAAAAAAAAAGAATGGTCTTACTGATATCTACTTTCCTTTCCAGAAATCCTTTATGTTCCACATTCATCCTGTAATTTTAGTGGAGTTAAATTTGGACAGCTCAATATTGTACAATTAATTATATTTAGCTTCAGTTAGGCTTACTAATTAATTGATCCAAGACTGCCTGCATGCCAATTTAGAAAAACATGGTGGTCACAGGCATATGTGATGAGGTCCTACTAAACACTCAGGGGTTCGGTGAACTGGTCAGGATGGATGGATGAAGCTGAGGTGTCTCCTGGGACACAGGAAATTGCGGGGGTTCACATCTGAGAGTGAGCCTGACTGCCAGCCACACTGGGCCTGGAAGCTTCTGACACACAAAGCTAAGGTGTTCCTTGGCAGGGAAGGAGAATGAGCAAAGGGGCAGACTTACCAGGAATAAGAAATACTGATGTTTCACACTTGTTTGAGGACACCAAATTTAAAATGGCTTAAAATTCAAATACCTGGCAGGTTGGAATTAAATGTGTGTTTTAAAATTACGTCCTGAAAGCTAGGGGAAAAAAAGAGAACAATTCTCAATTTCAGTACACTGAGATGCTTATTTATTATTATCATAGGAATTATCTTTTGTGGTAGACATAGGAAATAATTTGAGATTTTTGAAGCTTATTTCTCAAGAAGGATAAACTGCTCAAAATCTACAATAAGCTCCCTGAAATTTCTGGTTTTATACCACTCCAGTAATAACGCAAATATGCCAGTATGTCTAAAAGTGCTGTGATGTTCTTTATACACTGATGAATCTTAAAATTAGCACCATTTCACTGAATAGCTAATGAGGGTAAACCATTATTGAACCAAAATCATTAAACTGATTATGAACATAAGGATTTTCCCTTTGAATGCTGATATCATCTTGGTAATTTCTTTGCCCATTATATGATGCTCTTTCTTACTGTTACCATTATGCGAAAAAAGTGGGATTATTCACATTCTTCCCCTAGGAAAAATAATGCTGCCTTCCACCACTAGGAAACACCCACATGACGTCTTTGCCCTGGGAGGTACACATTATCTAACGGGCTCAGCTTCAAGAAGCTGTGTTAATGGACCATTAGCTTAGACAATAAAAATAGAAGATGAGTCTCTCGGGGCTTCTCTCTCTATCCCAATGGTATCCAAGGCCTGGATTTCAGTCTGTAAGATATTTCTGAATCTTGAACAGAATTTGTCAACTGCTGAACATACTTTTCACCTCTAAAACTTAATATGCATGGATGTATGTATACAGGTATGTGTGTATGTATGTGTATGTGTGTATGTATTTATTTAAATTTCTTTCCAAGTTTGGAAACATAAGTCCTATAACAATAAGCAGATTGACTCTAAATAATTGCTATTATTTATTTCTTTCCATAATATTTGAATATGTTTGACTTTTATATTCCTGAAAAGATGTTCACTTCTACAAAAATTATTGGATGTGGGGCGCCTGGGTGGCTCAGTCGGCTAAGCGGCTGCCTTCGGCTCAGGTCACGATCCCAGGGTCCTGGGATCAAGCCCCACATCGGGCTCCCTGCTCAGCGGGAAGCCTGCTTCTCCCTCTCCCTCTGCTCCTGCTTGTGTTCCCTCTCTCACTGTCTCTCTCTCTGTGTCAAGTAAATAAAATCTTAAAACAAAACAAAACAAAGCAAAACAAAAACAAAAACAAAACCCCAGGAACTTTTCTCAATTCCACACCCAACTCTAGGTTCTGCCCTCATTTAACTTGTTCAGCCAAGATTTGTTTAACCTACATTCTTTTTTTTTTTTAAAGATTTTATTTATTTATTTGATAGAGACACAGCGAGAGAGGGAACAAGCAGGGGGAGTGGGAGAGGGAGAAGCAGGCTTCCTGCTGAGCGGGGAGCCCGATGCGGGGCTCGATCCCAGGAGCCTGGGATCATGACCTGAGCCGAAGGCAGATGCTTAACGACTGAGCCACCCAGGCGCCCCTGTTTAACCTACATTCTGAGCCCCCTTCTGCCTGTCCCAGCCATTCTCAGCCTTGTGTTGATGCAATCAACACCCATACTGCTAAATCCAGTGAGTGCACTTTGGCTTAATTCACCTACTCTTGAGCCGGCATCTGGCACTACTGACCATGTGTTCCTCCTCCCCGAAGTTCCTTCCTTCCTCCTCACCTAGACTGACCCACTTTTTTCTCCCCTGGTCATGCTCCTCTGCCTGCTCTTTGTGTCTCTGTGTTCCTCAAACTGCTGTTCATCTCGCCCAGATCACTTTCCCCTGTAGACCGCAGCTTCAACTACCAGATGTCAATCTCCAGCTCAAATTCCTATCCTGAGCTCCAGACCCCTATATCCAGCCACTTCCTGGCCATTTCCACTTGATTCCTCAGAAATTCTGCAAAAAGAAAATGTTCAAACAGAACGTATCATCTTTTCCTCCCATCTGCCAATCAGCCTCTTTGAATCACACCTGATGGCCCCTTTCCTTTACCCCCCACTTCTGCCCTACCTCTATTGATTCGATCACCGTTATCTTGTGATCAACCTTTTTTAATTCCAGCAGCTGCCTATCTACCTTAATGTAGGGCCTAATCCTTTGCCTGGATTATTATCTTCTTGCCTTCCCAGCATGCCCTCCGCGCCGCACCCCCCACCCCCTTCAACCTCTCCTAGCTATCATTGCTCTTTCTTCAACATCACGCTGACCAGTCACATGCAGCAGACCACCCTCCAGGGGTTTCCTGAGCTTTCAGGGTTGGGTCCCACACCCATGTCCCACCTACAGGATCCCTGTAGACAGTCAGACCTTACTTCCCCTGCTACTCCCCAGCAAGCATCTTTTGCTCTTGTCACACCAAATTCCCTATGAGTCCTCAAAAATACACATTTTCATGTGTTGACAGGTTCAGGCAGCTGCCTCTCTCTGGCCCCTTTCATGCTCTTCTTAAAGTTTAGCTCAAGATTTCTGCTCCCCC